CAGTAGATCGATAACGGGAACCGTGCTCTCGCTCTAGCACGACTCGCGCTCTGATATATGTAGAAGCCGGCACGTTGGCGGAAAATCGCAGAGAACGGTGGCAGGGGTTGAAAGGAAAAGAGATGCAGATAGAGAGGGCCGGGAAGGGAAAGGAAGATACACGGTTCTAGCATCTCGAGGCCGTGCTCTCAGGACTGTAGATGGCTATTCCTCGTGCCCAAGATATTTCGTGTTTCTTTTTTCTTTCTCTCCCTCTTTTTTCATTCTCTTCTCTTCCTCGAAGTTCTGGCTATCGTCGAATTCGAGTCACCGGTAAATAAATCTTTTTCGAGGCCGTGACAAAAAGGGGTGGAGTGTATGCGTAATGATCTCGTTACGTAAGAGAGAGGAGGAAATTACGTTCACGTTAGAATTTTAGTTTCGATAGAAAAACACGAAATGGACGACACGTTCGCGATATTTTTACGATTATTTTTTTTTTTTTTAGCTTCGTTGATAAGTTGATATGCAACGATATTTTCTTCTGAAACATTCCCTTAAAAGGTATATTAAACGGTTAATATTAAGCAAGAAGAAATGGAAGCAAAAATTTACATGTTACAGAAGATCATGATTGTAGAAGAAATTGAGTTATTGGAAAGTTGATAGAGTTCATAAAGTGAGGGAAAAAATTGAAAGACAATGTATCTTCATGGAATTAGCATTTTATTGAATTTCGATGGCTTTTTACCATCCACTATAAATTAGCTTTCCAAACTAGTTTTTTCATGCTTCCAATGAATTTGCTTTCCTTTCCCAATAAGAGGGATGTATAAAAATCGAGATATATTAACAAAACGAAACGAACGGTCGAGTTTTCTTTCTATCAATTATCAAAATTTCAATCCAGAATTTATTTCGACTCGTTCGAAAATTGTTTGATTCTCGTTCGAAATTTTTCATCGAACCGTCGGACGATCGTCGAAGAAACGACACGAGCGAACATTCCAAACAACCCAATAAATCTTGTCCCACGAAGAAGATTTGGGGCCTCGATTTTTACGCGTCGGTCGTCGGCCCACGAGGGTCATGGGGCAGGCTAAAGATCCTTCGACCTCTCCGTATCCGTGTCAACCGTTCGTTCTCTCCTCCTCACCTGAACGAATCTTTTCCATCATCGAGACACGGGGACCTCGTTAGAATGCAGACGCAATGTTACGGGGAGTTTAAGCTTTGGTTTTCAAGGTCGGGTCACCGCCTCGGTCCTTCCATGACCGTTGATCTGAATCGCGCGACGATGAAGCCTTAAAACGAAGCTTTCCCACTCCCCGTAAAAGCAGTAATCGTGTCGCGATCTCTGGGATACCTTACAGCCGGATACACTTGTAACCATCCGTTGCTTTATCGGCAGAATCTATTTTTATTACGCGGGGCATCGCGATGATTGGCTCTCGATCCTCCCCATTGGAATCGCCCGCCCGGTTTTTCCCCTCTCGTGTCTCGTTTATTTTTTTTCAATCGCCTATACACACACCTTCCCGTCCATTTTTTTTTTCTTCTCGTCGTTCGGTTTACCTCGGTTTTGCTGTTTTTATCCTCTCCGGGAATGGTCGGAGAATTTCGTGGTCGAACAGTTGGGATAATACGGGGTGGTAAAAAGTGATGGTTTGGAAATTCGCTTGACCCGTGACGGGGCAATTAGAGGAAGTGAATGGCAGGTTTTTCTGTTTCTCTCATTGCTCTCACACATTGCGTGAACGAACATTGTCAAATGTTGTGGATAACTGCTTTTTTGTTCGAGTTGTTTTTTTTCATTTTAAAGCACTCTACGTAAATTTTTATCGATCTTTTTTCTTCCTTCTCACATTTTCATTCTTCTTCTTCTCTCTCTCTCTCTCTCTCTTTCTCAATTTTTCATTATTTTCCTTCACGCTTCCAAACGATTTCTCACTTCTTCCTTTGCTTGTCATTGTCACAGATACGTATATCGTTCTCTTACGTAATAACTCCTCCTCCTCCTACTGTGCTCATCCCTATAAATTTCGTTCCGCATTCAAACCACGAAAACCTCTTTTCGCGATCTTTCAGATCAGAATTTTCGAATCGATTCGTTCGAAAATTTTGACACGTCCTTCGTTTTATTCCCCCCCCCCCCTCTCCCTGCATCTTCGAGCAGCTCAGGGGTGTGGAAATACTCTTCGACGATTGGGAGAGGGGGGGGGGGCGCGCGGCGACATATGTACGTATATACAGGCTTGTGTGTATAACTGTTTTGCGGGACTACAGTAAACGCTGCTTATTCCCTACTCGTTTCTGCACGAGCCACGAGTTATTTCTCCCTTTCCTTTCACCCTTCATCCCTCTTTTCTTCTCTCGTTGTCCCTCCCTCCCTCTCTCTCTCCCTCTCACTCCGCCCGTCGATTCTCTTTCTCGCTTCTCTTTCGGTCGATAGCTCGTGGGGGTCGTGGAGACGCGGCGACGCCCTGCCCAACCACCCTCTTACAACTTCCCAGCGGTTCTCAATCTCGATCAAATTGACATTTCAACGTAAAATTCAACATATCGTGTAATTTTTATTATACGAATAATACTTCGTATTCTTCTCTTTCCTCTCACAATCATTTCTCCCCTTTCGTGATGATCTAATTCTTTGAAGATCGATCTAATTTTAATTGATTCTCGTGATAGGGAATAATGGTTCTTTCTTATCTTTTCTTGAAGAATATTTTTTCAATTATCAACAAATCTACGTATTATTATGTTGCAGCATTTTCCCCTTATAATTAATAATAAATAGAATAATTATTAGAAGCCCGTTCTGATCGATGAATTCTTTTCTTCATGAGCGAACTTTGCACAAGCTTTAAATTGTCGTAGGTTGTTTGGAGACTGGCATGGATGTCTCGGAAGCGAGCGTTTTAATGGGGAACGTTTGTAAAACGTATCGATGTCTGGGGTGCATTTATTAGAGTGAGACTCGTCGCCCGCGGTGGTTCTCATCCACCATCGTGGATAATCGTGATAATGCGAAAATTGATAACTGCTTTTGCCGTCATCGTGCGACTGTCTATTTATAAACAGATAGACTCAGCGATTATTTTTAACTAATTGCTTCTTTTCTAATTAACCTGTGAAACAAACAAAAAAAAAAAAAAAGAGGAAGAAATAAAAATAAGACGTATGCGTTTACTTTGCGTTTGGAAAATACGCGAAACGAGAGATAAAAAAGGGAATCGTTGCAAATATTTTTATACACCATCGAGATCGATATTTCTCGTTAATTTTTGCTCTCCCCGCTTTCCTCCCAAACGATCGTGAAACGCTAGTTTCGCAACTTGCCACCGCGTATTTACGGTTCTCTAACTGTTTAACGATGTGCAATGTTTACGAAGCAAACGACCGAGCGATTTTTTTTTTTTAGCACAGGTGCTAGTGAACGAACGTTGAACGAACGGAAAGAGGGTTGCCCACCCCCGTCCGCGTCCGCCCTACCGAAGATAAATCGATGCTTTTTTTTTTTTCTGGTTCGCCATAATTAATCTTCGTGTTGCACGGTTGCAACGGTTGAGCGTCGATGAAACGATGAAACGAAAATAAATACCACAGTTCCTTCGCATTTTTTTTTTTTCTTTTCTTTCTTTCTTTCTTTCTTCGAACACGATTGTTTCGCGTATTTTTTCGCCTGTTCGAAACCACTGTTTTAAATTTCCTACCAATCGTTTCGTTCGCCCGGGGATCCGTCTGTCTGCGCTCTTGTTGACCGCGTGATTGTCCAAAAATTCCGTGACACGAAAATAAGAGAAAAGGAAGGGGGAGGGGGAGGGAAGGGAGGGGGGAAAGATTTAAGAGAAAAAGAAAAGAAAAGAAGAAGAGTATATATGAAAGGGAAGAGAGGTATAACGTATAAAAAAAAAAAAAAAAGAAGAGAGAGAAGAGATATAAATAACGACTTGATCGAACGATGGATCGATAGGGATCGCGATCCCATCTCTCGACGACGATCCAATCTCGATCGATCTCAACGTTCAATTTATAACATATTCACGAGCATTACTAGGTATATATTAGTTAGCATACCCCCGAATACCCGTTTTTAATTGCGTAGTCTTTAAAAAGAGTCGCACGTGGGTTCGAAGTCAAGGGAGAAAAAGGAAAAGAAAAAAAAAGGAGGGGAGGGGGAGGGAAAAGAGAGAAAAGCGAAATAAAGGGGAGAGGAAGCGAAAAAAAAAATTCATAAAAACGAAAAGGAAGAAAAAAAAAAAGAAGAGAGAACGTAGCTGGCGTAGGGAGGCGTTTCGCCAGAGATATCTGAGAAAAAGGTGCGAAGAAAAAGAAAAAAAAAAAAAAAAAGAAAGAAGAAGAAGAAGAAATAATAACTAATTAAGTAAAATAAAC